AATTTTGGTTGATCTAACATTTAAACTTGTTTTTTAAAACCGTATTATAGCATGGACATTCAATTCTTTGGTTCGGTTCGGTTTGAATACTATTTAATTCAGATATTTTGAAAGAGAACGAAATCGGAACCGAAATATATTCATATCGAAGTAATTTTATCCGAAATATCTAATTTATATATGAAATTTATAAAAAAAAAAAAAATCAAGCCAATATCCAACAAAAATTTAACAACAAAACATATTTAAATGTTATTTAAATGCTTCAAATTTACAAACTACAAGGTACAAAAATTAATATTTTTCGTATGAAACCAAGCCGGTTCGGTTCCGGTTTGATGACCATTCATAATTTTATTATACTATCGAAGAAAAAAAAGATACCACAAATCGAAAAGAGGTAGACGATGATGATTGATTGATCCCAGAAAGAAGAAGAGATGGGGAGATACCAAAATCTAATGGTAGGAGAAGCTCTCTCCAATAATCGTCTTTACCCTTTTGCTTGCAATGAACTCAGCTCTATTCTAACTCTGTGTTACCCTCGATTGCACAAATTCATCAAAGCCCTCATCTTCCAAGATACTCTCTCCGCTTTTCGTCTTCTTCCCCTGTAAGTTTCGAAATTCGAATCAATCTATTGCCTGCTTCTGGGGTTTTCTTACTGTGTATTTCAGACTACGATTTTGACAAGATTAGGGATGTTCTTGGTTGAGATTTTGTTCAATATTTTGTGGCTTTCTTTTTAGGGTTTGATAAAATTCAAATAGCAAAGTTGGGAACTTTTAACCAGAGGATTGGATCTTTGAATGGATTAGCTTTGATTCTTTGGTTCCCCTGAAAGTGTTAAACCAAAGTTTGGAACTTCCTCAGATTCTAGCCAAGCATGAAACAGAGGATTATGTCTAATTGGAAATTTGTTCTTCGAATGGCTTTATTTCATGCCAATAGATTGTGTGCTTAACTGATTCTTTGCATTTCGTATCTGCTTTGCTTTGTCAATTTGCGAAAGGACTTTTTTGTTCAAATTGCTGGAATGTTCTGTTTTCTTGGAACAATCGAAGACTTATAGTGTGACATGAGACTACTCATCAAGACCACATTATTATTCTTATAGCACAAATCTCTTAGTTTCTTGATTTATCTCACAGTTTCGTGAAATCTGTGTATCATCTTCTCAAGTCTAGTAATACTAATACTACCAATATTTTTTTTGTTTATTTTATTTAGCATGAACACATCAGCTGCTGTTTCAGCCGCTAACCTTCTCCTGAAGAGCGTGGAAGCCGTGCTCCCCAAACAGAAGAAGAACTTAGCCATTGTAGAATTCAAGCAAGCAAAAGTAGCATTGAAGAGACGCAGTAAGAGCCATGAGGAAGATATAGGTATGTTTTCTAGTTATCTTTCTGAAAATCTCTTTCTTTGATATCCCGACATAATCCTTCACCACAACCACTTGCAAATCTTATTTTTCAGATTTACCTTCACTTCCACAAGATATCCTTATTCACATCATCAGTTTCCTCGATGTATCGTCCTTAGTTTCCTCATCTCAAGTATCTCGGTACGTCCCCATCTATATTCCTACATGGCAGAGTCTTTTGCTTGCCTTTTTTTTCCTTCTACTTATC